TCTACATTTTTAAAAATTCTCACTACTCAGCAGTAAAAGAAAAACTAGCATTAGAAAACATGCAAAAGGCACAAAGGCAAATTTCACCAAAGAGGATATACAAATGGCAATTAAGCACATGAAAAGATGTTCACATCATTAGCCATTAGGGAAATGAAAATTAAAACTACAATGAGCTATCACTACCCACCTATCAGAATGGCTAAAATAATAGTGACATCACTAAGTGCTGACAGGTATTCAGAGCAACTAGATCACTCATATATTGCTGGTGGGATTGTAAAATGATTCAGCTACACTGTTGAAAAGGATGCCAGTTTCTTACCAAATAAAACATTTGCTTACCATACAATCCAGCAGCTGCACTCTTAGGCATTTATCTCAGAGAAATAAAAGCTTATATTCACATAAAAACCTGTACACAAATATCTATGTAAGCTCTATTTGCCACAGTCAAATACCGAATGCAACTCACATGTCTTTCAATATGTAAATGCTTAAACAAAATGTGGTACTTCCATGTCATGAAATACTACTCAGCAATAAAAAGGAACCAACTAGTAATGCACACAACCTGGATGAATCTTCAGAGCATTAAGCTGAATGAAAAAATCCAATCCCAAAAGATTACTTACTGTATGCTTCCATTTATAAAGAATTCTTGAACTGAAAAAATTGTAAAAATGGCGAACAGATGAATGGTTCTCAGGGGTTATGGAAGGGGTGGAATTGGGATGGGAGTGAGTGGCTACAAAAGGACAGCATGAGGGATGCCTGTATTGATGGAAATGATCTGTAGCTTGACTGTACCAATGTCAATATTGTCAATATTAATATCCTCGTTGTGATATGTACTGGACTATAGTTTTGTAATATGTTACAGGAAACTAGGTAATGGGTACACAGGATATCTCTGTATTATTTCTTATAATTGTATGTTAATCTATAATTATCTCAAAATAAAATGTTTAATTTAAAAATGAAGATCAATCAACTGAAAAATAAACCATTTCTTATTCTTCAAGCGATTCTCAAATATTCCACTTTCTTGAATGAAATAGGTTCATGTTTTCTTAGAAATAAGTCTACTTACTTTGGCTTGACATAACTTATTTTAAAATAAAATATTTGTAGAAACTTGAATCATAGCAATGAAAGTATCCCTTGCCCAACTATTGCACTACTAATTCTTTTTCCAAATATGGGCTTATCCACTTATTTCATCAAAATGGAAAATTCCTTTATCAAGTATTTCTGAATAGTAAATAAATTTTTATTAGATTTTACTTATGCTAGTTAATTTTAGCAAGGTGACAATGACCTCTCAATTAAATTTCACTTCCAAAATATTTACCACGATACATAGGCAAAACATTTACAAAGATATTAATAATTTAAAAATCATTACATACAATTCATAAAGAAATATATACTATCTAAAAAGATTATTCCTTTGCTTTCTAAACTTAGCACAGTACTTCTCAAAGTGAATCCAGTTTTCTTACATAAAATTTTTAACACAATGACTACTTTTCAAACATGTGATGTATTTATTTGTAAATTAAACAGCATCACATGTCCTAAAAATGTAATTGAATGTTGCAGAAACATCACTATAGCATATTTACCATTGTATATAAATTTAGTAACATCTATACTAAACTTCCCAAATCCCTTATGAATTTCAAATGGAAGGGAAATGTGTCTGACAACACATTACAAAATTCACTATGTCTGAAAAACTATTTTGAGCTGCGTACTGAAATAAAATTTAGTTAGATATATCCACCAATGTGCTAGAAAAGATGTCTATCATATAAAGTGAATAAAGAATTATTGTTTGAGGTAAGAATAATTATCATATTATAAAATAGAAGAAAGGAGGGTCAGCTGAGTGGCGCATTGGTTAAGAGCTGGCTTGGGACGCCAGCTCTGAGCAGCAGGGCCCTGGTTCGGATCCCACATGAGGGCCAGAGATGCTGAGCCTTCTGCAACTAAGATGGTGAACAACAGCTCAACCTGGAGCTGGGCTGTTCTGAGTCACCGGCGACGGTGTAGGCTGCAGCCCCTGCTGCAGTGGGCTGCCATAAGCTACCGTGTGTGGCTGCCAGCCAGTGTGAGTGGCCAGCAGCCAGTGTGAGCTGCCAAGAGCCACTGTGAGCGGCTGTCAAATGGCCAGCGAGTGACTGCCTCACCCGGGAAGAGCACAATGATAATACAAACATGGGCCAGTGAAGCAATGTCCTCCATAACTAGACTGAAGAACAAAAGGACAGCAACTTCTTTGTTTCCCTTCTCCCAATTCCCCAGCACTGTTCCCCTCACCCAATTCCCCAATTAAAAAAATAATAAATAAAATAGAAGAAAGGAGATTCAGTAAATAAGCTACAAAAAGGGATTAGTTTTGTTTTGATATAAGCCCATCTCATGGGCTTTACCCTTCTAACTTTTTAAGACTCACAAGAACAAGAACACAACTTGCCAAAATAGTACATGGAGTTCCCATCTATCACCCAGCTTTCCCCACTGATAACATCTTATATAACCATAGTACGTTAGCAAAACCAGGAAATTGACATTGGTACAATGTTTTTTTCTTTAAGATTTTATTGGGGAATTGGGGGAAGAGAACAGCATTGGGGAATCAGGGAAGGGAAACAAACAAGTTGCTGTCCTTTTGTTCTTCAGGCTAGTTGTGGAGGACGTCTCTTCACTGGCCCATGTTGGTATTATCATTGCGCTCTTCCTGGGTGAGGCAGTTGCTTGCTGGCCATTGGACGGCCACTCACGGTGGCTCACGGCAGCTCATGAAAGTGCATGCCAGCTGCCGGCCAGCCCCACTGCAGCCTAGGCCTTCGCCAGCGACTCACAGCAGCCCAGCTCCAGGTGGAGCTGTTGTTCACCATCTTTGCTGTAGAGGGCACAGCATCACTGGCCCACATGTGGGATCCGAACCAGGGCCCTGCTGCTCAGAGCTGGCGTCCCAAGCCAACTCTTAACCAATGAGCCACTCAGCTGGCCCTGGTACAATATTTTTAACTAAACCAGAGACGTTATTTGGATTTCACCAGGTTTTACATATGCTATTTTTTTGGTGTATAGAATTATGAAATTTTATCACATATACATAAGAAAATTATTACCACATAGATGGAATTTGAAGCCATGATGTTAAATAAGATCATACAGAGGGAGGCTAGACTGAACGGGGAAGGTTTGAGACCAGAACCCTGGTAAATACCCCAATTATGGGCGGGTCCAGGAAAAGCACAATGAATGAAAAACAATAAGAAATGGTCAGAGAAGCAGGAGGAAAAATAAGGGAGTGTGATGACCTGGAACCCAAAGGAAAGAATGTCAAGATGACAGAGGTGACTGACTGTAGAAGGGCTGAGGGAAAATGGTTACAAAGAGCCCATAGGACGTGGCTAACTGGTCATTAATAACTTTTGCCAGAGCAATAATGGTGGAATAGGAGGGGTGAGAGAACAAATTAGGAGGTAAGGAAGTGGACAGAGTGAACTATAAAATGCTTAATGAGGTAAATGGAACAAGGAATGCAAACAAAGAGAAAGAAAAATAATAAATGAGGTGATAGTCTAACACGTAGGAAGGGATGATGAGTAGGAAGGAAGAGGGGCATTTCTGATTTTGACATAACTGAAGAGAAAAATGTCTTGCTAATGAGTCATGTTTAATGTAGCCATTTAAATACATGTGACCTCAAGAATTTTTCCTTTCACTGGTGTTGGTGTGAATCAACTCTCCCATTCTTGAACTAATCCTCACAGAAACAAAACCTTTGTTTCTGGCTCCAACTGATGGGCTATGAGAAAGTAATTCCTTAGCCCTTTCCACAATTAAATAGAAGTCCCAAAGCTGACCTACAAGTTTCAATGCTGAGTACTGGGAGGCATGAATTGGTCCCATGATGGCAACTCATTCCTCTTTTGTGCTCTGGATGGACTTCATCATGTGGAACCTGCATCCGAGCACCTAGGCCAAACTTCTCTCTACTCTCATCTATAGACCTGACCTTCTATTTTTGTCCCTATTACAAGTGACTGATCCTTGAGAATCATGACACTGTCAGGGGCACAGTTATATCACCACCAGGACTTGTCTTGCCCAATAAATATGTGCTGCATGAATGAACAAATCAGCCCTATGGGAAGACAGGAATCCCCATTTTACAAAAGGGAAGTTGAGGCTCAGTGTTGGCCAAAATGACATCAGCAGTAAGTTGCACAGTTAGGATGCAAACTCAGATCTCTGACCCCAGGCTTCATTAAGATTTGTAGATATAGTTCTTTTTAGACAAAAGCCAAATAAAACACTTAAGTGTAGAAGTTTCAGGGTCCACATAAAATAAATGTTTCAATGGGGACACCCTCAGTATTTCCTCATTCATGACCCTTTAAGGGATGAGTTGTGTTAATTATAATTTATTGTTTCCAAACTTTATTTCTGTTGGTCTTTACTTTTGATAGTCATATACAGCACCCCTTTGAAATTCATTTTACATTGATTTTATAAAAACAATATATCATCTTAAACATTAAATTAGTCATTTTAGCAACTAAGATTGTACTTTTCAAATACTATTAACATGTGTACACTCTGAAAATCTAAAAGAAAACAGATACAAAAATTAAAAATAGAGAACCAATGTTTTATAATTTGGTTAAATAAGAAATTAAAAGATAAACATGCTTTCGGAGCTGTAAGATTTGAACATAAGACTCAGTGTCCTTATGAGCTAAATAACATAATTTAAGCTGACTTCCTTTGATATTATAATTAATATAATAACAGTAGCTTCTTGCCTCACAAGCACACACACACACACACACACAAAACTTAAATAGATTGTAAATTAATCAGTTCCAAGCACTAAATAAGATAATTTCCTGGAGTACATTTCATCATAATTAACAATTTTTTAAAGCATTTGTGTAAATGTTTAATAACTAGATATAAGCTTTAAATCTTATACTCACTCTTTCATGATACTTTTGGTTCTTTTCCCTGAGTCTCTTTATTTGAACCATGAATCGTTCTACTACACTTTCCTTTATTTGACAGCTGATAATAAACAAAGATAAGATTTGTTACAATTACTTATCTTAGGAAAATTAATCAGACAAAATTTACAATTAAATTATTTGAATTGAAATAAAGTAATAAATATATTATAAAAACCTATTTAGGGATAAGAACTTTCTTAAGTGATTATGTGTTTCTGAGTATATTTCACTCACTCAATTGTATATTAGAGAGATCACTTCAAGTTTTTTTCCAAATCAATCATCATTTTTAATTCATAGCCGTAATTTTGATACTTTCTAATTTCCTACAAATAAGTCAGCTTAAAGAGAACATAGGAAAGAGCACATGGAAAACATGCTTTCCAGAATTCTAAAAACGTTCAGATAAAATTGACAAAACAAAGATTTTATAAGAGCACGCCCATCTTCTTGAAATATTGGGTTGTCAGGAAAGTCATGACGCATGTCTGCAACAGATGACGCTAGTTCATTTTTGGAAGTACTAGTCACTTGCATCTATGTTATTGCTATGTCATTTGACAGCTGACAGTTCTGGCTTCATTCTAAAAAAAAATTGTGTGATTTGGTTGAGTTTTGGAGATTTTACAACAAGTTGAAGATGGAAGACCAAACTGTGCATTTTTGCCATATTTTACTGTTTTACTTTCATAAAGGGATGAACATGTGTCAAGCTTGTGAAAAGTTGCATAAAGTTTACAGTGACAATGCTCTACAAGAACGTCAGTGCCAAGGATGGTTCACGAAATTCCATGCTGGTGATTTTGATCTCAAAGACGCTCCTCGGTCAGAGAGGCCCACCGAGGTTGATGACGACAAAATAAAAGGCATTGATCGAGTCAAACCCACTTGACATGAGAGATTACAGAAACACTGAACATCCATCATTCAAGCGTTCACAACCACCTGAAGAAGCTGGGATACGTAAGCAAGCTCGATATTTGGGTTCCGCCTGAACTCAAAGAAGTTCATTTGACGGCGTGTATAAACATCTGCAATATACTCATTAAACGTGAGGGAAATGATCCTTTTTTGAAGCAACTGATAACTGGTGATGAGAAATGGATTGTTTACAACAATGTGGTGTGCAAACGGTCTTGGTCACGACGTGATGATTCACCTCAAATGACATCAAAAGCAGACATTCATCAGAGGAAGGTTATGCTCTCCTGGTGGGATTTTAAAGATGTCATGTTTTTCGAGCTCCTACCAAGGAACCAAACAATCAATTTGAATGTGTACTGTTGGCAGTTGGACAGTTTGAACGAATCCATCATCCAGAAATGTCCAGAGCTTATTAATTGTAAAAGAGTTGTGTCCCATCGCGACAATGTGAGACCACATACAAGTTTGATCGCCTGTCAAAAATTATTGGAGCTTGGATGGGATGTGTTGCCACACCCACCATACTCGCCTGATCTTGCGCCATCAAACTTCCACTTGCTTTGCTCTCTTCAAAACTCCTTGCGTGGTATAACGTTCAATTCAGATGAGGCTGTAAATCAACACCTTGTTCAGTTTTTCGCAAATAAAGACAGGTCCGTCTATAAATGAGGAATTATGAAGCTCACTGAAAAATGGCAAAAGGTTATTGAACAAAACAGGCACTATATCACTGATTGATCTTTGTGCCGTATATAAATAAATGACCTTTGAAAAACATAGACAAAATACATCATGACTTTTCCGACAACCCAATAGTAAGGTAAACAAACTAGGCATACCTATTGGTTCAAGTTCATTGGTGTATACCTTCTCTTCTATAATTAACACAAGCTTCTTTCCTGATACAAATACCTTTCATTAACACCCACAGTATTTGTTGAGCATCTGTTCGGTATGAAGGAGAGAGAGACAAGTGCAGAAAGACTTTGGTATAGGCCATTTGGTAGCTGTTGGAAGTGTTAAGTATATCTCTATACTCGTATCTGTATTACTTAGTAAGCCTTATAATGTTAAATCTGAGACCAAAATAAGGCCACAGAAATGGCTCTATATGAACCACTTGCCTCAATTAAAACAAAACAAAACAAAACAATAGCACTTCTGTGGTGTGTAGTGAACAGAGAAATGGTTGAGAATGAGAAACTGTGGTTTTCAATTTTGTCCCTACCACTTCTTACCTATTTTACCTCAGGCAGGTCAGTTCCCTGAGCCTCAATTTCCAAGCTGTCAATGGAGATAACACTACCCAGCTCTACATATTTTTATAAGGATTAAAATAATAAATCATACATGAATGTTTCTGCCTTAAAATAAGTACAGTAATATCTTGGTTTGTGAGCATGATTCGTTCCAGAAACAAACTACTTGTATTGCAAGATATCACTCATTTACCACATTAAAATGTATTAGAAATGCTTGCTCATCTTGTGGAACACTTGCAAATCAAGTTACTCACAATCCAAGGTTTTACTGTATTTAGTAAATTTCAATTGAATTTGAATCTTACTTTCTCAGCCATTCCCACAAAATATCATTTATATTGGTGACATTGTATACTTAGTATAGAGAAAAATAAGCCTCCTTCTTTCCAAATGATGAAAGTGCAATATAAAAACAAAACAAGCAAATGCTTTAGTGGAAAGCAAAGCTCTATTTGGATGCCATGAAACTTGGATTATAGACTTGGTTCTCCCCTAACTGCTTCTGAACCTACTTAGGCTTCAGCTTACTCTTCTGTAAGTAAGAGAATTGAAGGAGATGAGATGAGCTCTGTGGTTCCTTTCAGTTCCAAAATGGTGCAATTTAAGTTGACCAGTGTTCCCTTTCATGCAGTCGTACATACAACACAGATTTAATGAGCAGCTGTGTATGTGCCCAGCATTGTTTTAGGCAGTACACAGATCATGATAAACAGTATCATCATGATCCTTGCCCTCAAAGGGCTGCCATTTTACTAGACAAATAAACAAGTAAACACACAAGCCATTATCTACACATTGTGATAAATGCTATGGGGGAAATAAGAGGACATGGGAGCGACAATAAATGAAAGAACTATTATTGATAGGGTGATCTCCACATAATAGTAAGAAATAAGGGTATAGGTAAGTATAAACCATCTTCTCCTTCTTACCTAAAGCTTAGATGTGCAAAAAGTTTGAAAAAGTGCCTTCTCTACCTCGCATTCTTAAGGAGAAAAATAAATGAAAATTATCTGAAAAGAGCCTGTGCAAATGTGTGCTAATTACTCACATAATTTCTGTAATTATAAGTATGGCAATGGTAATTCTCTGCATGGGTGGAGCAGGAAAGTGTATCTCAAGTATGTGGTCTCCATTGGTTTGAGACTGAGTCTGCCTGCCTTTGTGACGACTGAGCATGCAAAGATTGGACTGGAGAATACATCCAGCCCGAACCCTAGATATAGCATGGGACACACGTATACTAAAAAAATTCTTTGTTGTTTATCTGAAATTAAAATTAAATTGGGCATCTGTATTTTTATTTGCTATAGATGGCCACCCTACCCTTAAATCTATCACTCCTTCCCTCAGAGCAGTTAGGAACAAAGAACCTAGGGCTTTGTCTTGTGTTCCTTCTGCATTGAGCAGTTCAGAAAGATCTGAGTGGCGTCAGCAGGCCTCAGAGAGAATTCTGAGATGCCCCAAAGGTTTTGGCGGCTTCATTGTCCCTTTTCTGGAGTGCATGGTGGTTGCAGGTCTAACATGGCCCTAGCCCCTCCTTAGAGTTCACTTTGATCTCCTCAGGCCTCATGAAGAGATGGATTTACCAAGAAGCAGATGAAGCTGAACTTATTAGCCACTGTGGGAATTCTAGCTTCACCATTCTCTATACTTTTTCCTTTTCCTATCTCCCTCATCTACTCAGTACCTGAGTAACCCACCTGTCACACTAAATGCTGAAGCAAGTGGGATGATAAACCAGTGAGGTAATATATACTAAAATGATTTGAAAAGGATATATAGCACTATTCTAAAGCATAATGATCTGAAATTGTTAGTAATACAATATGTCACCTTTCCCCTATCCTCCCTGTATTATTAAAATGTTAGTAATGTGTCAACTTTCTCCCTTTTTGCAATTTTATTGAGAATTCTGAGAAGAAAAATAAATTCGGATTCTCCCCAAATCTATACTTTTATCTATTTTTTACCCATAATCATATCCATACCTATATCTCTATCTCTATCTCTGTATTTCTATCTCTATCCATACTCCCTGTAGCAAACTGGGAGGAAAACAAATACAAAGGAGAAAATAAAAAGCATCACTACTCAGAGATGATCACCTTATATATTAAACACTGGCAGTCTCAGCTCTTCACAACCATTGAAGTTTACGACCTTATTTTCTTGGGTTAAATTTAAAAAAGTTATATTGTTCAGAAATCATTGACTACCTACTGTGCTCTCAGCTCTTCGTTAGGAGCTGAGACTATAAGAGAAATATTAGATGCTGCCAGGGGACCCTTGGACTGTCCTTCCTCAGACGATGAGGGGTAAGTCTTGGTGATTTGTTATGTGACCTGGGAACACATGGAATGAGTCAAGTGTCACTAGCAGAGCACAGTACAGCAAGGCCTTGGCTGCTCCAGTCCATCAGATTATTTATTCGGCTTTGACACAGGAAAGAGAACAAAAGCATGGGATGTTTAATTTATATCTTGCACTAGATCATGAGAATTTTTAAATGTTGGCCTCCTTGTAAACCGCTGTTAGTAAGGAGAAAGGCTGGCCTCTGGTTGACCCAGAAGAGAGAGAAACAGTTGTAATTGGATGTCATCACTATAAACTATGGGAGCATGTTAGAGGCCAGGTTGTATTCACAGAGCCTGACTTTTTGGCCACCTTTCCTAAGACGAGATGAGGACAGTTTTCAGTTACGTTGAGAAATGAGCGTGGGTAGGATCTGGTTATTACTTAATGTTACCTGAAGTAGAAAATAAAATGGAACTTTCTTAAAAGTCCCTTCCCGTGGATGATTCCCTCTCAGTGTTCTGACCTTTTCACTCACTGCCTTCTAAAACGTTTGAAGTCTCTTAAGATGGTTTTCCCTGAATGTTGTTAAAAAACAATTCTCTTACACAAAGACCTACTCACCAGCATCACGGGCTACCCATTTCAACCTTGTCCCCTCCAATAAATGGCTTGCCATTTCCAAATCCCACGTATTCCAGCTTATCTGACCCTTGCCTAAATCACCAGCCTGCGCTAGCCCTCTCCCCCTCATTCTGCCTTCTCTCATTTCCTGGGCTGTCTGTGATAAGGGCTTCCTCACCCCAGTGTCTTTTCCTTAAGTCTTCCTTCCTCTATACTGTTCTGTCTCCATAACACCTGCTCCTTTTTCAGGGCTCAGCTTAAGCATTGCTTCCTCATACAAGCTTCTCCTGACCCCTCTGACTATATCAAGTCCTTTAGTTATACTATTACACGGCACCCTACACTTTTCACTCAAAGAACCTTAATTATAACTATGTAATTTTTTCAAAAGCTTGAATTCGTTGTTTAATGTCTGTCTCCCATGCTTCGCCAGGGCAGGGATCATGGGGTCCCGTTCACTGTCGTCCTTCAGTACCCAGCACTTGCCTTGTACTTGGCAAATATTCGAGTATTAGTTCAATAAATGCGTGAAGGAAGCACATTCTTATTTGGAAAAACACTGACAGGTAATCACTCACTCCCTAAGAATTACACATTAAAACACCTACCCTAAGCCAAAAGTTGAGGCTCAAAAGCTCTCAAGGGGCTTACTCTCCATTAGGTGGATAAAACATAAACATAGGATAGGCATCACCTCTAGTTTTGTCTTCAGCTCCTGGGAGAAAAACATTAAGAAATGTTATCCTTATTAAAAATAACTCTTTAAATCATTTGGATTTGATTTGTAGCTATTTGGAAAGAATGCAAATTGGAATGTCTGGAAATGAAAAATTAAATAAAGAAGAAAAAAATTCCACTTTTACTCTTCTATGAATGCATGCTGACTATTCTACATTGTATTTTAAGGGGGGGGTGACCAATAATACAGGGGAGGTAGGGAGGGAGCTGAAACCACATTAATGAAGGCTATTTCTTAGCTACGACTTGGACTACGTTATAGCCAAAGTTTCAAAACCTTTTAAAAATATACACATAGCACAAGAGTGCAATTATGCCTCCAATCTACCTCCACTCCGGCTCCCTTGACAGATTTTGAGTGCATCTTTTTCCATGTGGAATTATAAGAGTCTTAACAATGATTGCCATTTATATATGGAAAACTTTGGATGTAATAATCTAAGCTTACTGATAGTCTAGAAGTGTTTCACTGATAGGCAATTTCACTTCTTTTGGTGGCCCATATCGAATATCCTTTTTATTTGCTCTCGCTGTGGTTTCCATTGGGTTGCTTAGCTCGCAAGAAATGCACCTGTTCAGAAAAGACACATACAAAAAGTAAATCAACTCTGTCTTTGCCCCCCTACTTGTGTTTACGCAATATAAGGCACTGCTGAAACTTAAGACTGACTTTTCCATCCAGACTGCTTCCATGTCCCCAGACCTAACACAATGCTGGGGCATCATGAATCATGGGGATTCTTGAGCCTGGTGAGTTCTATGTTTAGCCCAAGTACAGCACCCCCCCCCACCCTAAACCGGTGGAGACTCACTCCCTTATGTTATGCATCTACATCTGTTGCCCCATCAAGCTTCTTTACGAGCAAGAACTGAACTTTCTCAGCCATTTTATTTCTCCACTGTGTTTGGCAGAATGCACTGCATATGGCAGCAGCTCGGTAAATGTCTTTTAATTTTTTTTTTTTAATTAAGACAAAGCAAAAGCACAATTTTCCATGAGCACCAAGAAACTAGGTTCCAAAGGAATTATGTTTGGCCAGGATTGTTATAAAGAGCAAAGACGAGCACATAGTAAAATGTTTTTTAAATGGTTAAGAGGTTTACATATGCAAAATAATAATTATAATAATGTATTATCATTAACAGTAACTTTTCATTAGCTACTAATTGCTTTTGCATCTAATGACAAAAAATGATTAAAAAATATGTATTTATAAAGGGGAAATCAGGTCCACTGTTCATAGGTTTTTTTGTTTTGTTTTGTTTTGTTTTATAGGTTTTTATAGTAAAAGGTATACCACAAAGATTTGGTTTGGGTACTAAAGTACTTTTTTTCAGATTACAGTCTTCTTTAACAGATTTTTACCTTCCAGTTTTCATTAATCTCAAAAAAAAAAAGTGCCCAAACTTCAAGCCATGTTGTATTAGTAGTTGAGTGTGGCAGAGAGAACATAACCTTTGTAATTATTTGTTAAAATGACTAGAAACTCTGTGAGAGTGGGAGTGATGCAAGTCTTGTGCATTGCTGTATTTCCCCACATTGCATATAAATCCTTGTCGAATGAACACATGAATGGATAGACGAATGACTCAGGCAGACAGGTTCTAATCCTAGATCTAATACCTAGTATCTATGTAACCTTGAGTAGGTTACTTTATCTTTCTGAGCTTCAGTTTTTGCCATTGGTAAAGCGAGAACAATAATCTCATTCTGAAAGCTGTTTTAAGGATTAAATAAGCTAATATTTATAGGGCACCTCGCATAATATCTGACATACAGAAAGAGCTTTATTATACCCCCTTTAGTTATAGCTCCAGATCGTGCTTCTTCAAATTTCAGGTAACTGTAAAGCAGAAATGCCTGCCTGCTGCCAAGTATGACGATATGTGGAAAGGCTAATCCATGCCGTTTGCTGTTGTCAACATTCATCATTGATTTGGATCACTGAATTGGCAATCTACATAGATTATTCAGATCCACAGTGGAAAAACTCTCTGAAATGAAAACACCCTTTTCCCCTGCAGACATGCTGCTTGCACACCCAGACCTCCAGCGAGGCTCGGTCTCTGTGTCTGAGACTTTTCTAGCCAAGTGTGTTCATCTCTATATTCTAAAGGATTCATATGTGAACGCAGATGTACTACTGTGCCTTACAACTGAAAAATCATACAGGTGACACAACAACAACAAAAAGAATGTATTAAGACAAGGGCATATATTAACTAGTATCTTCTCAGATACGAAAATATTGAGACTACCATAAGCTACAAACCAAAGTGTGTCATTATACCATCACAGTTCACAGAAATCTACCAGTTGAGAAAAAATTGTTTTCTTTTGTTTCAGAGGCAGAATTGAATGTTTATATTATTTTCTATTTAGAATTAGAATTTTTAACTTGACTGTTGCACAGAAGATAGCATGCTGACAGCTATTTCATTTTACAACAATAACCTACTATTGAACAATAATTTTGACTGTATTTTATTTAAAAGCTAAAGCAAATGCCAACATTAATCTCTAATTCTCTTTCTGAGTCATATGGAAGAGATCAAAGTGTTATGGTTCCCACCTGTGGCACCCATCTGTGCTGGAGGAAAAAATGATCTCATCTTGCTCAATTACCTCAGTAACCTGGCTCTTCTGTGTTCAACTCTCTAATGTATAATTAGTTACCTAACTGCAGCTCATGGCAAAGGATTTTAATAAAATATGAGTGAAAATGTGGATCCATTAAGCACATATGATTTATGCATAAACCATATTAAGATTCATTGTTTTGCACACTTTCCAGAAAATTAGTAAGCCAATTGGATGGCCTGCTTAATAGCTGCATTATTGCAATGAGCTAATGACATTGCCTCAGAATGAACTGTTGCATTTGAGGATGTCCTACAAACAATGGGGATTTTTATAAACATTTACAAGGATTTACAGTTCCTGACTACCTAGATGATTTCTATCTCAGTAAAGGGTGAGAATCCTAGAAAAATATTCACAAAGTAAGTTAACTATCTTACAAGAAGGTGTCACTTAGAATATTTCCTGACAAATGGACACCTAATCTGTTTGTCAGTAACTGCAACCATCTATTCAGTGCCTGCTCTGTGCATGGCGCTTTACTTGGCCCGTGGTTATAAAATATGGAAGAGGCAAGATCTCTACTCAGATTGATAGGAAGAAAGAAGCATATACCCCAGCAGAACTTTTAAAAAAAAATTGAAGTTTTAAAAGACTTCAGCAAAATGGTGCAGGTAATGGATGCTATGGAGATGGTCGCTCACACTGTGACCTTGTTTGGGCATTCCATACATACGCCCTAGAGTGAGGGCAGGTGAGGAGGCTGAGTTTGAAAGACACGGAACTCCAGCCTTTTCAGAGTCTACTCCATAAACACTGTTAGAAAATGTTTCAAAAAACTTTCCCCAAATGCTCCTCAGTGAAAAGAAGTCTGTTGAGTAAAAAATGGACATATAAGAGCCATGTTCTTCAATGTACTGTTTATTCCATAATGCTTTTCTTGACTCTGCAAAAAACAAAGAATATGTCCCTTCCTGTGAAGTCTCAGGATCCTGGCTCAGTATGTAGAAAGATCCTAATGACTTCTCTCAGGACTTTGCGGAGCTGTGAATATCCAGACACCTCTGAATGACTCCTGTCACAATTTCATGGAGCCTGGGGGAAAGACGGAAGTTCTGCCCTAATACCTTTCCGGACATTTGGAGAGAATCCTGACATTTGTTAGCTAATATTTTATATAAATGTAGTCTAAAATGGAAGATATTTACTTAACAGTATTAGTAATAACAAAAGCTCTGAATGAGATTCCATCAGGGGTTGACAGCGTGATTTAGGTAAAAGATCTCTATATGGGTGTTGGAAGTCTTGAGGTCTAGTCCTGGCTTTGCCATTAACTAGCTATAAACTTGTGGAATAATAATAATAATAATAATATAATAATAGTAATAATAAGGTACTTCCAAAAGCCTTTGTGAAAGAGTAATCTAACTTTAAAGGCACATATCTCACTATAGTGTTAATTGCACTATATATTTGAAAACATTCATGGCACTCATCTTCAACAAAATATAACTCCTTTAATACTGAACAGCAACTAATTACTTCAACAAACCCTTATCTTTGGGAATTCAAAAATAGATATTGGCACATAGACCAGCATCTCTCATGGGCACAAAACTAGATGTTTGATAAATGTCTGATTTGAATGACTGACTTGTAAATAATGTGCGCTATCTTTCTTTATGTACTCATAATGTTGTATACACCCTGAATTTGGAAAGCAAAATGACTTTTAAACTCAAATTCTCACTTATGCTAGAACACATTTTTAATACAATTTTAAAATACTTTAGAAATGCTCTCCAGCATATGTTAACAAAAACCTGAATTCATCGTAAGCCTTTTAGTAATAATGACATCACCTGAAAGTTAGTTTAAAAAATTCAGACCCTTTTTTGTACAGATTATGTATATATAGCCCCGAATTGCTTTAAAATGTAAAATACAGCCAGTTTAAAGACATGTTAAACAACCACATATTCAAATCAAGGCATTTTAAAATATCTGGATGAATAACATTTTCAACTTTCATTCACATGACTGTGATGTACATTATATTAGCATGTATTTTCTTTACCAATTCAAATCATTTGGTCGGTGGCACATTTTTGAACTGCAGTTCCCAAATTATATTGGGTTCTTAGCTTAAAAATTGGTCTGTGTTCTGATCCCGACTTGCTCATAACAAATACTTTGAAATGCAGTATATTATATTTATAACCAGAACTACTTTTTTCCCCCCCAACTCCTGCTCTCCAGTTTTAAAAATGTCAAAAAAGAAATGTAACCATGAAGAGATTATTGTGAGGATAATGAAAATACTCTGATGGGGAGGAGAACAAAAAACGCTTTTCTCTGTCTTCAAAGCGCAGTGGTCAATATAGAGAGGATTGGCTTTTGGGGTGGCGGAGAAGGAACCCGTGAGCAATTAGCACGCACACTGAAGATATCCAGTCTTATTTCCCTTCTTTGCCTTCACAGAAATCTATTTTTCCTCTTAGATGGGACATTTCCCCCCCACCTCCCAAACCACTTCCTCAACTCTCTGCTCAGCAGAGAATTACGGGGAACTACGAAATAAGAAAACAAATAAAATACTATACAAATCTAACAAATTAATAAAAAAAGGAAAGAACCCCAAATCTTACGGAGTGGGGGCATAATGGTGAAAGGACTTAAAGAACACACGCAGCACTTACGAGGTGTCTACAGTGGGAGGGGCTCTGTGCTGGTGCTGAGAAGGATGCAAGGATGTCTGAGGTCCTCACTCTGAAGGCATTCGCCAGTCTGGGAAGTCAGTGAGAAGAGCACTGAGAAAAAACAAGACCTGTGTCTAGTCCTAGCTCCTCCACGAGTGAGTTTTATAACCTCTGACAAGTCTCTAAACCTCTCTGACCCTGTTTCTGTTCCATCTTTCTTACGTCCTCTCGAGGTTATTAATGAAGCTCAAATGCTTTGGGAA